CAAGTTCCCATACGGGTCCCCTGTGCTATTCCAAAAGAAACATGAAGGCAGCCTACGACTCTGTGTGGATTATCGGGCTCTAAACAAAATCACCGTGAAGAACAAGTACCCTATTTCACTAATGGCAGACTTGTTCGATAGACTGGGTGGTGTGACGGTGTTCACCAAGATAGACCCGAAGACAGGTTATTGTCAAGTTCGGATTGCAGAGGGTGATGAACACAAGCCAACCTGTGTGACAAGATATGGGTCGTACGACTTCCTGGTTATGCCGTTCGGCTTAACTAACGCCTCAGCCACATTTTGCACCCTGACGAACCAAGTCTTGCGAGAGTACAAATTCGTGGTGGTCTACTTGGATGACATTGTGGTATATAGCCAAACACTAGAAGAACACCTGGAGCACTTGCGGAAGGTCCTAACCTGATTGCGGGAGCATGGACTATATGCGAAGCTATCCAAGTGCTCCTTTGCTCAAAAGCATATTGACTTCCTCGGACATGTCATCGAAGAAAGGCGGATCAAGATGGACCAACAGAAGATTCAAGTTATCACAGATGGCTGCTGCCTAAGGATATCCACACCTTGAGGGCGTTCCTTGGCCTACGCAACTTCTATCGACGATTTGTGAAAAAATACTCCCTCATCGCAGTGCCATTGACAAAACTCCTCAAGAAGGTCACGCCCTGGGATTGGGGACCCAGGCGAGCGGAGGCCTTCAACGCATTGAAAGCGGCTATGTCTAGTGGCCCCGTCTTGGCCCTCCCTTATTTGGCCAAGCCATTCGAGGTACAAACAGATGCATCCGACTATGCCCTTGGTGGAGTCTTGCTACAAGAAGGGCATCCTGTAACATACGACAGCCGGAAGCTGAAGGATGCAGAGCGGCACTATGCCGCCCATGAGAAAGAATTATTGGTTGTCGTCCATTATTTACGCCTTTGGAAGCACTACCTGCTAGGGAACCCGTTCGTGGTCAAGACAGACAACACAATTGTTAGCCATTTCATGACCCAGCCGAAGTTGAATGGTCGACAGGCTAGGTGGCAGGAACTCCTAGCTGAATTCCACTTCAACCTGGAGTACCGAAGTGGGAAGACCAATCATGTTGCTGATGCACTCAGTCGGAAAGATGATCTATCATCGGTGTGCTTACTCGCCACCCTAAGGGGGAGAGAAGTAGCCACCACCATCAAAGACCAGATACATGATCTACTCATCAAGGATCCTACTGCACGGTATTTGGTTGATCTGGCAGGACAGGGCAAGACTCGCCAGTTTACATGGAAGATGGTTTTCTGAAAGTAAAAGGGAACCGACTTTATGTTCCTAAAGGAGGAGGTCTGCGAAGGACTCTTCTGGCAGAATGTCACGATACTCTGTGGGCCGGCCATCCCGGCGAAGAACGCACCATGGCATTACTTCGTCGTGCATATTATTGGCCTCAAATGGCCGATGACATCGCTCAGTATGTGAAGACTTGTCTAGTATGCCAGAAGGACAAGTCGGACCGCTTGACACAAGCAGGACTCTTGGAACCACTAGTTGTCCCAAAGAGGCCTTGGGAAAGTGTTTCTCTGGATTTCATCATCGGATTGCCCAAGGTCGGAGATCTCACAACTATCTTGGTTGTGGTGGATCGGTTTTCCAAGTATGCTACTTTTATAGCAGCCCCACAATACATCTCAACAGAGGATAACGCTCGACTCTTCTTCTCTCATGTCGTTAAATATTGGGACCTACCTAAAGACATCGTTAGTGGTAGCGACTCACGCTTCACTAGCAACTTTTGGACCCAACTCTTCAAGTGCCTCGGGTCAAAACTGAGTACAACTTAAATTTTCATCCGCAATCTGATGGCCAGACGGAGCGGTTCAATGGCATGCTGGAGGAATATTTCCACCACTTCTTAACCGAATAGCAGAAGAACTGGGTGAAGCTTCTGGATGCTGCTCAGCTGAGTTTTTGAATTCACAAAAGAGCTCTAGTACAAACAAAAATGCTTTTGAAATTGTTACCGGACAACAACCGCTACTCCTACACATCGTGAATGCACCAAACATGTCAAAATCTCCTCGAGCTGCTAGCTTCTCAAAAGAATGGAAGCAAAATTTGGAGATAGTGCGGAGCTATCTTGTCAAAGCCCAAAAGCGGATGAAGAGGCATGCTGATCAAAATCGTCGCTTTGTTGAATACCAAGTAGGAGACAAAGTGGTGGCCAAAATTCCAAAGCGATACTTGTTTGCAGGGGTCCACGACCCTCGCCTACTACAAAAATACATTGGACCCTTGTCCATTGAAAAGCACATTGGAAAAGTTGCATACCTGGTGGATACCCCAGCTTGGTAGAAAATCCATCCCGTCTTCCATGTCAGTCTTCTGAAACCTTTTCGGGAAGACATGGAGGATCCTTCATGGAGCCAACTCACAATACCAAGTATTCGAGGCCCCAATTCAACCGAGAAAAGGCGTGCTGAAGCTATTCTTGATAATCGAGTGATTCACGCCTCAAGGAAAGATCACCAAGAGTTCTTGGTGAAATGGCAGGGCTGTGATGTAGAGGAGAATACTTGGGAGAGGAGAACAAACTCAAAGCCTACAAGATCCTAATTGATGATTATCTTGCAAGTAAGGCCCCGAGGACGTCGCCAACTCAGGTGGGGGAGAATGTCATGGGCGGCTTTCCAGCCATGCCACATGACCCCTTGGGCGCGCCCCGTGGCGTCCTAGCAAGCCTCTTAACGCCTAGCGCCACAGACGACCCCGTGATCTTAGCTGCGCCAAGTGACAAACGCGCATGTGCCTCTGTCGCCCCACCGATATCCCTCGCCAGCGCCCAGCCGCAGGTAGATGCCAACAGCGCTGCGCACGTAGACATGCCGCGCGCATAGATCGTGATGCCAAAGACAAGGCTGACAACGGACCTGTGTTCTACCTTGTGGAAAACTAAATCCTTTTCATTGTAAATATAGAGTAGTTTTATTTCATGTACTTCCATTATGTTTCTCTAGCTTAGTTAGGTCTAGTCTTGTAACTTTGGTTTATTTTTTTAAGCACTATTAGGGGGATCAAGCAATCAAACTTTCTAGAAAGCAAATAATTCTCTGTACTGGTGTCTCTCCCCCTCGACACTGTGTTGCGTTTCTGTAATAACTTTCATTAATGCAACAAGCTTTCTTTCATTCTCAATTCTCATTTCTGTTCTCTCAATTGCTCTTGACATTGGTTTTCCCGTACGGCACTGACAATCTCGTCTAGCGTACGAAGGGGACCTCAGTTGGCGGATAGTAACTGCATGGACATCAATTGTTTAGCGCTACGTCGCTCTTCCAAGGAATCTTAGGAAGGTGCCGCTTAACAGTATTGGTGTTCCCTGGGAAAAACTGCTCTGATGGAGTCTTTTTTTCTTTTTTCACACACTGATGGGGCATTGAACTTGGATATTAATGCACTATCCATTCTGTTTGTTTCAAAATTTTTTGTACTTGATGACGTTAACTTATACAATTTGTTGTTCTATTTAAGAGTTTGATGACTAAAATTATTTAAGAGTTTCTACTTAAATTTTTAATATATTGTTACATATTAATCAAGAGTGTGAAACATTTAGAATTTTTGTTGAATTATATGGAAATGTTAATATATTATGCAATGTATTTCGTGTTTCAATGGGAAAATTTCACATAAGAACAAGCGGGCTTCCTACATTTTAATTTTGTAGCCCACATTTTAATTTACAACTAAGTAGCCCAAAAATAATAGGCTAAGATCCAACATCCAACTCCAATAGGTTCTTGAAATTATTATTTAATTTTTAAAAAAGATTGCTCAAGTTTTTAAGTTAATTTTCGAATCAGAAATTGTGACTCAAATATTAGTTCAACAAACCAATTCTATTTGGGTGGTGAAAATTGGATTTTTAACAAGGTTAAATATGTGGGTTTAAATTCCGAATTTAATTTTGTGCGAAATTTGGAGTGGGTGTTATTTGGACATGTTAGAAATAGTATAAGGATGTTGTATACAAAATTTGAAATCATTTAATGGAGATTTGGACTGGTTTTGAACAAGAATTGCAACTGAAAATCGTGGAAGAAGTTCCTCTACAGACGCTTGTATAAAGGTGTATAAAAGTGTATAATAGTGTATAAGGTGTGTTTATACACTCATATACACTATTATACAAGATTATACATAATTATACAAAGAACTGACTTCGTCTTCTTCCTTGCGTCTTTTATGAAATTTAACTAAAATCTTGCTCAAATCTACTCCAAATCACTTCAAATTTAAATTTTGAACTCCTTTTGATATTTTCAATCAATTGGAACAACATCCAATCCAAACAACTAACAAAATAAAAAAAAAATCCTATTTTCGAAAGCAAAGCTTTGAATGACCTTCAATGGTGGACTTCTACTATTCAATTTTCTTACATTGCAACCAGATGACACAGGGGGAGAAACAGAAAATACATGGCCCTTGAAGCATATGTAGAAAATGTGAGAAGAAGAGAGAGTGAAAACAATGGTTGTGAGAATACATATTTAATTCCATAGCTTTTAGAATAGTTGTAAGAACATAGATTTTGAATTTGCAAGTGTTTTCAAAATATGTAAAATATGGGCAGGTCGGGTAAAACTTAAAAATATGGGTCATTTTTTGTTATGGTGTGAAGTCGCGTGTATTTTCTTGTAATTCTTTCTTTATTGGAAATACTATTTTTATTTTTAAAAAATATTAGCATAAAGTCCATAGGCTTACGCTCAACTTATCATAGGTAAAATGACTCGTGCGCCACCTCCTCTAGAAAATCAAGTGATATTAACCAATTAAAATAATTACATCACTACATTAGCACTAAATTTTGATTCTTTGTTACAATTACCAAATACTTATTGTGATTATTGAATGAATTTATCACCAAAAGTTTATTAAATCATCTAAAATTTTAAACCAAACAGACTTCATTTCGTGGCTAAGCGTTAGTCACAAATTTTCTTCCCCTTTTTAGTTCTTATAAAAAATTAAAAGTAAATGCATGCATCCCTAGTTTCCCTTTTAGAACCAAAGAATAAGCTTTTTCGACTTCTTCTTCCATTTGCAGATTGAGTTGGGATCAAATTGTTCTCGTATACGGTAAGCTCTAAATTCTACACATCAAATCTATAAGGCTTCTCCATTTGATTTTCTTTCTGGGATTTTGTTTTTTCATTTCTTAATGCTGGAAATGTTTGTGACTGTAAAGGAGTTGAAGGATCGCCCCTTTTTTTCCCTCTTCTTTTCTTGGTAATTGTGCTGAAGGGTTTTTATAGAATGCAAAGGTTTTCTTCTGGGTGATGTTTAATCTCTTTTAATTGTCTTAGTTTGGGTTTTATATTTTGAAAGAGGAAGAATAAGCAGTGTTTTTTAATTTCAGTTTGAATCTTGTGAAAGAATTTAGCTCAACTAGATAAATGGAGAGACTAGCTCCAAAACTTGTTAATCGAAGCAATGAACAACTGTAAAATATTTTCTAAATAATTTTATGGAAAAATAGCTTCTAAGGGCCGGGTGAATTAGGTGCACCTCAATCCTCATGTGTTTGCACATTGTCGCAGACAAAACGTGGTATTCCAGTGGAGAGGAATAGAGTTGTGGGTCCATTACCCGCCGAGTTTTGAGCTGTGTACCACGTTCCTCGGATATTTCTGGGTTGTCAAAAAAAAAAAAAAAAATATAAGAGCTTCAGGGAGATTCCAAGTGGCGAACCATTAAACCATCTGAATTCATGGACTTCGCTATGAGTATAGGATATGTGTATGCATTCGATGTGTATATATTCGCCTTTTTAGTGTGTTTAGATGGCTTCATTATCCATGTCATGCCTATTTGGCATGGGTCTGTCAAAACAATCGAAGATCATGTGTGCAATATGTTTAGAAATTTATAGTTACATGAGACATACAACCTACTTTGCTTTTGACAGCCTTTAGGATCTTGTAAATTGTGCCTTTTCCCGTCATAGTTGATAGTCTGTTGATGGCGGAGCTGATAGTCTGTTGATGGATGAGTAGTGTTGTTATAATGTTTCTTGATACCTTGTAACTGTCTGATCCTCGCTAATACCACAATAAGACGGGCATTCATTTCAGAATTACCACAATAAGATGGGCAGTCTGCAGAAGGGGTGATAAACAGCTTTCATTGCATATCTGTATTAACTTCACGTAATCTGCTGGATATAGATTCTTAGTTATGGAAAGACCTCGGTACCTTATAGTCTAAAAGCAATGAGGACATTGTTAAAATGGCCAAATTGTCACTCTGACTCCTAATTTTTATTATGATGAGCCAGAAGCGTGTCTATTGGCAATTTCCTGCCCAAGAACCAATAAATCTTGAGAAGTCAACTTTCTCTTTTGATAAATCGAGAAGTCCACTTTTTCTTTCATAATATTGGAAGAAAATGTTCTGAGGCAAATAGTATAAGAGACGTATAGCACACACATAGGTAGACCTTGAATACCTTTGATCAGCTATATGTGGATGATAGAGGCCCTTTTATTATAGTACCCAAGAGCAAGTTAGGGACTAGGCACTTCTGGTTCTAAAAACTGAGGTTTAAATGTTAAATGTCGTTTACATGGTCTAACATGCTGTAGAAAGCATGTCTACGGTGGAAACAGGAAGAAGAAAGAAGAGCTGTTGAGTTCTTTCTAGACGTCATTGCCCGGACATAGGATACAAATTCTTGAAACTGAGATTTGCAAGGGTGAAAATCTGCTCAGCGCTTCTAGCTTCACTTCTACTTTAAAATGCATGGTCTCCTTTTTTCATAGATATATGCGGCTAAAAACTGAGTTGTTATGGTTTTAACATGAGATTTTAAACATGAGATTGTTGGTAACATTGTTTTAAACTGCCTAAAATATGCATAAAGAGCGAATCTAATGGCAGAGATGGGAAGAAGAAAAAGGAAGATGATTTAAGCTCTTTCCTGATGTAATTCGGAATATATAGGGAGAGAAGTCCTCACCAATTTCTTAACTATACTCCTGCTAAGTAGTCACATAAAACTGGAAAAGTACAACTGCCATATACTCAGAATAATTACTCTGCAGATAAATTGATTCTATCATCCTAGGTTTTACTTTTTCACTTATCAAGGTCTTACTAATGAAAAAAAGAAGAGCGAGTCTAATGGCAGAGATGGGAAGAAGAAAAAAGTGGAAGATTTAAGCTCTTTCTAGATGTAATTGGCCAAATATAGTGAGAACAGTTCTCACCAATATTTTAACTATACTCCTGCTAAATAGTCACATACAACTGAAAAAAGATAGACCTGACATATATTCAAATTAGTTTCTGTGCTGATAAAATGATTCTAACTCCCTGAGTTTTACTTTCTACTTTTCAAGGTCTGACTAATGATATATCCAACTGAATCTATTTTCAGTAGCTGTTCGGAAATGTCTTTAAGCTCTATTCTATAGTATGAATATGGAAAAGATCAGTTCAACCAAATGTCGGTTTTTATATCTCGAAGGGGGATAAGAGTGGGGGAAGACAATTCATTGTAACAAAGTTAGTTATAAAGGAAAAAGATTAACATTCTATTCTGTATTTGAGTACTTTGTTCATTCTTCTGTTTCCTTGGGCAGGTTACAGTTCATTTAGGCATAGCTGTGAATTTAGCATCTTTTTATCTGTCGGGGAAACATAACCACAGGAAGAATTTGATGTGTTCCAGTGATAAAGAAAAAGCTAGTGGATAAAATAGTTTACTTGGTAGATTTCAAGTAAGCATTTGGACAATATTTGGTTGAAGTTGAAAAAAAAAAGAGTATTTGAAGTTGAAGTTGAAAAAGAGTATGTGGAAGTTGTTTTGTATCCTTGTATATGAGTTCAAATCACGGTGGTGTTTCTTGCTCTTTTGTGTGTGTTTTTGAATCATGTTTGCCTTGTAATTGATTGTACAATCTCTTTTCTTTCAGTCCGTAGCAGAATTCCGAAACAGTGGCAACTTCCTTTCTTATGTACAATTGAAACTAGTATAAGATCATTCGCCCTGAAGGTGCAATGGGAGCCTCCAGTGGACCAAGGCTATCCGGGATGCAGAAGCAAGTGCTTGCTCTATATAGGGGATTCCTAAGAGCAGCACGCTCCAAGCCTGTTGAGGAGAGAAAGCAAATTGAGTCAATTGTATCAGCTGAGTTCCACAAAAATTCTAAGCAAGTTGACCGTAAGAACTTTATTTATATTGAATACTTACTTCGTCGTGGTAAGAAACAACTTGATCAGCTTAAAAGCCCTGATACTGTTGGATTGTCATCCTTGAGTGTTGATTCTTCACGAACTAGGAACTCATCCTCCTAGATTTTTCTTACAAAATCCACTCGTGTGTTCAACTTTACCGGAGTCGGTTGATTATATCATCTCTTTTGCTGGGATTAGCATCGGGCATTTGAATGCCAAATGTTATTTACAAACACATATACTGGGATTCAGAAACAATTTAACGACTGGCAAATGATCCTTTTTAGGGAAAGGAGACTGGCAGATGGTTTTGAAACCAAGAAAAGCCATCTTTGACTTGTCTAAATGATGCATTTTCTTTTGGCTCACTTCATTAAGGAGCATGATTATTCCTATAGAAGAGTTAATAGTTGGGAGCTTCTACAGCATTGATAAATTCATTTGCTTCCTGTTCCTGAAGTTTACATAAGCACTTGCATACAATTATCACAGTAGTTCAATATTTAGATGGCATTTACGTTTTGTGGGATAATACTGGATATGTTGTTGTTGTAGATGGCATTTACGTTTTCTTCAACAGAAATGCAAGTCAAGCTTGATACAAACAGTCAGTTCAAAAGTTGTTTAGAAAAATCATACAGAGTTTCCTTATGCTTGAATAGTAGTGGTTGTAGTAGCTGTTAATTCCATGATGTGTATATGCGCATCTAACTCTGAGATATTGATCATTCTAGTTACATTAGAAATATGAACATCACAATAGTGATTTCTTAGTAGTATGAATTCAACCTCTATCTCATGACAGGTATCTGCTCTCACTATGAAAGTGTTGTGATTCTGATCCGATTATCTTGGAAAGTAGCCGGATTGTGTGCATATCACGAAGGTCTAATACCACCACTGTTAGCTAGGGATGTTAACATGATGACTAGGCTACTAGCTTGTGGGTAGCGTTCAGCGTCATCGCTACTCTCTATGGGCAGGTGTACCAATTATAGGTGTTTTTCAATCTCAGCCATATAGCTGCTGCTACATACTATATCAAAACTAGTTTCTCTTTATAGGCTTTGCTCGTATTATTCCTTATAAATAATTGGAGAAATTTGCCAAGGTCTGTAGATGTGCAGTAGTCAAAACATGCAAACAAGCTTAACCTAATGACTGTAAATGCAGTAATATCTGTTCTGTGTACACTTAGCATGTTATGTGCTGCTCAGGCGTGTGCACTTCCCACGAGATCCTTTGTGGTTAGTGAGTCATGAGGGAGGATCCTGTTCTGACGCAATAGAGCCATGTACAGACCAGTAACACGATTAATAACTAATGTTTTCAAACGTGCTCAATAACTTATCTGGAGCCATGTTCTCAATAATTGAACAACATATGCGATATGCATGAATATCTGAACTGGGCACGTATCACCACATATATAAATTTCTTAGCAATGTACTAGCATACACAATATGCACAGAAAACCAAACTAAGCATGAATCACATCAAAATCACAGTACTGATCTTTTTCATCCCAGTATAACATTCTAGTTCCTATGTATATTCTCATCGTCTCTTCATATATACATAGTCACCCCCATATACATAACATATATCTAAAGCTAATTAGCATGCTTATTTTATTGAAAGACCCCTTAAAGAGGTCAAGTCTCCACTTACCTCGGTCCAAGATTAATTTCATTGCTCCAGAATTGCTTTAGCGATTTAAATCTCCTTCAAATGACATGGATATATAACAATTACCAAGATCAATTAAACGGCCTATTGGACTTATCTCTTAAATTTATGTAGGAATTTTTACCTCCTATAGCAAAGGTTAACACCTTATTTATTTTAAATAAATATCATTTAAAAAAATTATATTCTATAAATACTTTTTAAGGTTTATAGCAAAATATTTAATTTTGGTTACCTCCTAGCCCTAAGCCACTAAATACGCTAATCAGTTACACTATTTTCTTTCTCTTTCTACTTTGATACATCCCATTTTCTTTCCCCCATCCCACTAAAATTTCAAATCTCTTCCTCCGATCAACTTTCACCAATGGCCGCAAAGAAGAGTCCCCGATCTTGAGTCTGTAACAATTACAAGCATCTTGAACTTTCACCAATGGCCGCAAAGCATCTGATTCTCACCAAAAATCTTTATGCCAATAAAATTGATTTTCTCCTCCCTCCCTTTCTCTGTCCCTTGTTTTCTTGATTTATAGATATATTAATTATCAGTCAAAACTGATTCTTGTTCAAAGCCCCCATCCCATTATAATAGATGCACTGATTCTTGAAGATTGCTATGTTCAAGATTCTCACCAACAACAACAGCCGCCGACATTAAACTGATTCTTGAACAGCAGCCGCCGACATATAATCCGGTTGGTTTGTTCTTGAACAAAGACGATGGAGTTTGGGGCTGAGCAACTTGATTTTCTGTTAATATATTTCAATGTATTTTCATGCATTTCATTGTATTCATTGTCTTTTTTTTCATTGTATAATTCAATGTGTCTCGTTGTATTTCATTGTATTCACTATCTTTTTTTCTCATTATATTTTAATGTATCCCGCTGTATTCTATGTATTTTATTATATTCACTGTCTCGCTATATGCCATGAATGTATTCGTAAGTTTTTTTTAATTAATATAATTTATGTATTCAGATGTATTATATAATTTCTCTGAAGATTGCTATATTTTTGAAGTATTTTTCGGTTGAGAATCTTTTTTATAACTGAAAATACAAATTTTGTGTGTTATAATTGAGTTTGTTGAGTTATATTAGGAGTCTATTATGTTAACTGATTCACTTTCCGTTTAAAAACGGTGTAATCCCCTATTTCACGCCGTGAATACAGTTGAATACAATAATCTGTCCAGCTGTAATCCCATGTTTCACTCCATGAATACAGTCGAATACACTCGAATACAACAACTGATTAGCTGGACTTCCCTGATTCACACCTATTTTTGCTACTGTATTCATGAATACAATAGCTTAAATACATCAAATACATCTTATAACCACATAAAAAGTATCTATAATCCGTAATATAGCAAATGATATCTATAGATAACTAATTACTACTAAAAGATAGTGCTTTATAAAAATTTCCCATTTATGTATCAGCCAAAATCTACTCACAGTTAACATGATTCCCGAAACCAATATGCCTTGGTACTATCCACAATCCATTGAGTCCAAAATTATGATTAATTTTCAAATCAGAGTCCAAATAGTAATTCAATTTCCCAATTTTCTTATTTTGGAGTTTAGGACTCGTTCAATTTCATAAATTTCCACTTCATATCTCATACTTTGGATGCAAAAACTAGTCTATTTTAGAATCCTTTCCATAGACCAATATCAAGTCCTGTAATTGAAAACCAGTGTTTTAAAAGGCGTGGGCATAAGGCGATGCGTTTTATATAGGGGTGTTGGCACAGTTACCCACAAAAACAAAATTATTTACCTTTGTCTATCCATTTGTTTTCCTACCCATATACTGATTACATTTCCTACCCATAGTAGGTTTTTGTGGAGAATTTTTTCTTTATTCTCCAATTCTTTTTTATTTCTATGCTTCTTTTGTTTTCTTTTTTATTTTTTTTCCTTTTGTCCTTTTCTTTTTTCTCGTTTTCTTCTTATTTTTTTCTTTTTTCTTTTTCTAATTTCATTTAACTTCTTTTTTTTTTTATACTTTTTTTCTCTTCATAATCTAATTTCATTTACTGTTTTCACTATTTTTTATTATTCTTTTTTTATATTATTACTAAATAAAAATCGAATTGTGTACCAATTAAATGTAGCTAATACAACCAAATAAATATTAACTAACATATGATACCAGTATAGTATATAACTATACCAACAGGGTATACAATTATACGCAAAGAGTTAAAAAAATTTCAATTCAATTATTAAACTAAAATAATATCAGTTGTCAATAAAAAATTTAAATAATTCTAAAAGGATCTAATTGTAAGAGTATACTGTTACGTTATATAGCATACTATAATTTTTTTTTTTTTTTGCATTTTTAATTTGCCCCTCACGCTGGGTAAAAGCTTAAAACAAATTATAAGGGAAAAGGCAAGTGAATTTACGGGTAATAAGTATACTATTATAATATATTGTATACTATTACAGCATATTGTTACAGTATCTTGCATATTATTACAGTATACCATAATAATATATTGTATACTATAATAGTATACTGTTGCAGTATAACTATATACTCCTATAGTATATTAGTATACTGTAGCTGTATACTGTTTTGTGAACTATAATAGTGTACTGTTGCAGTATAGCTATATACTCCTACAGCATATTGTATACCGTAGCGATATACTGTAGCTGTGTTCTTCTTCGATTTTCAACTGAAAATTTCGATCTCAATCACCTCAAATCAGCTCCAAATGCTATCAAATTTCAGTATGAATTCCAGAAGGTACTATAAGCAATATTTAACAGCACCCACTTTGAATCAAACAAGAAATCTTCAAAAATAAAATTGAGCTTCAAGCCCAACAATGGTGGATAATGGAAAGATTCTCAAAGGATGATATTAGCATGGGACCAGAGACGTAAATGACCAGAGACTTCTGTAAATGCCATACCCACAAATATTATTACTGCCACACAAAACTAAGGATATTCTTTTGGAGTTTGAATCTCTATTTCACCACTTGAGGTTCTCTTTCAAGATTCCTTGTTTGTGGGAACTATTTCATTAAAGTTCGTACTCAACAACTAAAGCCCTTAAATATTTAATTGCATGCCAGAAAAAAAATTATGAGGTTGCTGGACAAGATAATAAAGAAAAGAAGAAAATCCAAAGAAAAGTTTGATGATTTTCTAGCTCAGCTTTTGTTTGCAGGTTGCGGCTGGAAAATTAGCGGGTAATTAATTCGGGCCCCATGGGTAAGAATAGTAAGTAGTTTAGGCATGGGCATTAAAGGGTAAATAGTTTGGATTTAATGGGTATAAAGTGATATTTTCTCTTTTATATATGCCTTAGCGAGGTGTAAGCCGCGAGGCACGGGGCTTAAGCCTCATGGGTATTTAATTTTTAATAAAATAATATAACTACAGTAAATATTTTTAAATAGGTAAAATTACATAAAAATTAAAGAAAACTATAAATAAGTAATATATATATATATATATATATATAGGCGTGCTCAATCCCCACTATTAACTAGTCAAAATAATCTTTATACGCTACTTACTAGCGCAAGTAACCTGAGTCGAAAAGAATAAAGTTTTCTACGTGAGGAAATAAAAAGGATGACTAATTAACCTGCAATTTGAACTTTGAACTTGCTGCTATGAAGGAAAATGTAGTTTTCTTTGGATCTGCAGAAAAAAATAAAAATTAATTGTTCATTGCTTTTGGGAGATAGTAACAGACTAGCAGACAAGATAAAGAATTAGGAAGAACATAAATTAGGGCTTCTAGCAATAAAAAAAAGTCTTGACTTTTAAATTTGATATTTCAGTTCTTTTTAAAATCTTTGATTAATTACAAGCTAACTTTTGGGATTTTGGGTATTATACTACGGATTTATTCAACAAATTTTATTTTAATTTGAAAAAGTCTCTCGGGCTTACGCCTCACTGCAAAAACTTGCCTTAACGCCCAGGCATACCCCTTGAATGGCTGGGCGTAGCCTCTTAAGATTTTCGCCCCGCACCATCGCTTCGAGGCATTTTCGGTGCGCCTCGCCCCAGGCCTCACCCCGAAAACGTCTTTTAGAACACCGTTG